TTAATATGGAAAATATATAGTTATGCTTTAGCTATCCATGCACAATGCAATCAATCAAGTGAGACTATATACCGCTAAAAGATTGTGTTCTAAACTGGCCCGTTTTACAGCGGATAAACTTTTTACAGAGACTGTCGCGCGACAACCACCTTAAGAGGTAGGTACACAGATTGGTTGGTATAATAGGTATAGGGTAAAATCTCGAGTAAGCTAGGGGTAGATGTTTGGCGGGAGAGTTTGGTGACAATCAGTTAGCCATTGAATGTAAGTAGGTAGGTGAAGGGTAAGCTAGCAGGCACTAGATCGTGATGCCAGTGTGTTTGATGAAGTTATGGAGAGTGAGTGAAAGTTTTTCCCCAGGAGTTGCAATTAGGTTGAGTATGTTGGAGTCGGTGATTTCCACTTTCTGAAGGATTCAGGTAAGGATTTCACGCTCCTCTTCAAAGTTAGGACAGGTCCAGCAGAAGTGCGAGAGGGTTTGTGCTTGTTTGCAATTATATAAGGGAGAGGCGATAATTTTTTTCCTGGCTAGGCTTTCATTCAGATTGGAATGGTTGGATTGATTGGCCATGAATCTGATGGATCAGGACTATAATCATTCTTATTTTTTCTTTTCCTGGTTCCTCTCTCGGTTTTCGTATTTTCTGTAGGTTGAGTATTGTAGGGGGTTTGATGGAGGAATAGAGAGAGAGTGATGGGGTAGGAAAGGGCATTTTGAGTGGAAAAAAGACTTTGTTATAGTTTTTCAGTCGACATTTCTGAATCCGGTTCAGTATCGTTGTTGGAACAAAATTGGATGTATCCATCCCATAGGGCAACATCGATGAGCACCTGTTGGGGGCAGAGAGTTGATCAGGATGATGGTGAATGGCCACAGGGAAGTGAGTCACTAATGCAAGGGCGGAGGGAAGAAATTGGTGAATAAGGTGGTGGAGATAAAGAGTCGTCAGAGTTTTCTGAACTTTCCTGCATGATATTCACATTGTTCGGTTTTTTTAGAGTTGCACTTCTGGATATGGTGTAGATGTACATGTAGAAATAGATGACAGGTATTAAGCATGGGATGGTAGAATAAGTAGCAACAGCGACAATAGCGACGTGGCAAGACGGCGGCTCCCGACGCCAGGGAGGGCGCCGTGTGAAAAAAATTAGATTCGATTTTGCGGCAGGAATTATGGTCACAAATAAATAATAACTATTAGAACAATGCACTAAACTAATAAGTAAGTAAGATACGATAAGTAAACGTGAGAAAATAAAGCTATAATATTAACAAAAGCGAGGCACTAAACTAGAGATAAGGCACAGTGTGCAAAGTACGTCTATATATTATCAAAGGTGGTTTGGTACTCATTATTCAATTTCATCTTTCGACAATTCGATACTTTCGCAGCCGTCACTTTAATTTTTTTCGACTTACTTGTTTTCAATTTTTGGGCGGTAGTCATTATGTTCTCCTTTATAGATAAAGATTTTCTGGAAAAAAAACAGTGCCTCCATATGGGGGATCAAGGTAGCGTTGTAAAATTCACTCCTCGGCCTTTAAGATTCTCTATACTCCATGATCATGTTGTAGAATTAAGTAAGTTTCTATATCTCTATAGATGTAAAAAATCGATTCTCATTCGAGTTCACTTCGAGATTATCACAGGTTCTTTGTTAAATAATAGTGAATAGGGATAGGGGTCAGTAATCATGTATGGTATAGTCTAATCAGAGCTATACTATTTATGGTATAGTCTGAGAATGATTTGAAGTGACGGATTCCTCGTATGTATATAACATATGCAAAGTACAGTTGAGTTCGTTTAGTTTGTCGGGCTCGGGAGGTATCCTTGATGCGGTTCCTGGGGGGCTGAAAAGTTCTTCACGGACGTGGGTCAAACAATTTATTTTTTCACAACCTCCGTGGGCAGTGTTTCACGAACTTAGTGACAAAAAAGTATTTAAGGGGGTCATCCCATGGGACGGCCGGTTTTTGACGCTATATTTGGCAATTTTTTGTGGGAAAATGAACGGAATAACATCGAAATTTTTACTACATATTTATTGACATTTCAAGATAGCATTCTTTTTTTTTTGGACGAAAATCATTGACCTATTCAGCGGCAAAGTTACCCATGAAAAAAAAGGGGTGAAACTATTGAGACGATTCCGAGAGTGCTGATGATCTGAAAATAAAAAATAAAACGGGTTCGTAATCTGTCACAATTTAGCCATCTGCTGAATAAGGATTTTTAAAAAATATCAAACATTGAATTTTTTGCAGGCTTCCAAATTTTTTTTTATAAATTTTGGCTTTTTTTCGACAATTTTCTGTAAACACAAAAAAACTGGTTTAGATATCGAATTATCCTAGTTCGCCAGATGCCTACACATCTACTGAGTAATTCCTCCAAACTTCGTTGAAATCCGTTAACCAGATACAGTTTCGAGAAAAACGCATTCAAAGACTGACATACGGTTAATACATATAAAGTATTAGCTTACCCTCAATCTGCTATGCCCGGTCCATACAGTAACCCTTCTTCTTCCTCATAAAAAGCTTACAAAACAGATTATTCATTCTTAACGTCAATTCTAGCTTTTGTTTCCACACAGCTCAAGCGTTGATTGGGGCGTCTGATGCGCGCTTCATTACGGCGCTCGGCGTAGGCTTGTGTTATGGGGCTTATTACACAACCTATGGTTTCCATCACTTTCATAATTCCATTAAAACCTTAATTAAAAATTATTACAGCAAGAAAAGCAGCTATTTCAACTACTTTGACGCCAGAGTGAAGATGTTTGGGCGCAAAAGTCCAGATCAATGAATTTAACGATTCATTGTTATTTTGTGTTTCTGCTTCTAAACATCTGGTCAACAAATCATCCCTTGAGAAATCTTCATACATTGGTTTGATGACCTTTTGAACTTCTGCAGTGCTTATCATGATGGAAATTATGCAGTTCTCCTAGAGCTTCTGCCTTGCGCCACTTGCACCAATTGTCTTCGCCTGCTGGACAATTTTGGTGTTGGGGATTTGCGCCTGTAGAACATTTATGGTAGAAACTGGCCCAAATTTCTTTCTTCATTTGCTCCATTGAATCTGTATGTCGACGAATAGCCAAGCCGTAGAATTTTGTGAGCTCCTTGATAGCTTTATCTGTTAATTTCCCAGCACCTTTTTCACCGATTCCTTTATGCATTCTCTTTTCCACGTGACCGACACGGTCTTTTTTAACTATCCGTTCTTCTTTTCAGTATGGCTCCCTTTTCAGAATTCCATTGAAGGTCTTGCTACCGTCATCGTCGATGTAAGTACGGTACGTTACACCATGTTTTTCTTCAGATCGCGAAAACATTTGTACAATGGCGTCGACTTACATCTTTCCAGAGCTCCCATAATGATTTATAGTGCATTGAGTTTCATGACTTTCAAACCATGACTGGTAGGCAACTGAATCGTAATTTTTTTTGCTCTTCCATAAGTTACATCCGCCACAAAAGCTGGTCATCACATGTGCATCCACAACTTTACCTGCATACTTAGCTGTCAACGTGGAAACACCAAACAATTATGAAAATCCTCGCTTCTTCCAGGTGCCGTCACCAGAAACTGTCAATTCGTCTTTTGGTTTGCCGGCTTGTTTATTGATTTCTTTCTCCTCGATGGTGGCGAATGATAAGACAGTTTCATAAACAGCAGACACGGCTGTGTGAACATTTTCCAAGATTTTTGTGTACATAGAGTTCCCAATGCCAGAACAGAAACTTATTAAACAGCAAAAAAGATCACTCCTTCATGACCAATTCCTAATAAGCGCATCACGAAAACTAAATGTCTATTTATTTTATAAACAGTTTTTATCATAGGACCTGGGTTAATAGTTTGAATTTCCTCACACCCACATGAAAGGAAAATTTTTAAACCCAGGCCCCTTGAACTGCCTTGTGAAAAACCCACGTCAGCTTCACATTTTCTGCATGTCACATCTTCAGCAATTGCAGAAAATACTGAAGTAAATACCAATATGCAATACACAGAACTTACTGTCATTGATACATTCAAGTTCTTGTTTCCCGGTAGTTTTTTCGCAGACGCTGACGCGAACTCTGTTGCTTGCTCGAATGTGTGACGATTTCTCGAACATTGACGTTTTTTTCTTTGACCAAATTGTGCTGAGCGACCGCTACACCCTTTTGTAAAAGTACAAATAACGCATGCAAAAATCAATCACAGCAAATTCTATTGGCTGCGATAACGTGCTGGTTCAGCCACTTCGTCGTGCCTAGCAGAGCGCGCGCTCGAAATATCAATCTTTACTCTAGCCTATTGGCCGCTATAACTTTTGAATGAATTGAATATCATCAAATCGTTTCATCCACATATTCTATGATATATATAGATGCAATTAATGTGAAAAAAAATCGATTTTTTCAAAACGGTACATGGGATGACCCCCGTAAGGAACCGAAAAACTAAGGGAACTCTCCTGTAATAGTCAGCATATAGGCAGGTACGCTGGATGCATCTAGAGAATTGTGGCGTAATTATTCTCCTCTCTTGCCAATAAGCACAATGACATCAGCCGAAATTTCTTCATTAACTAGACCTTTCAAAATGTAAAAAAATCAATGGTATAGAATAATTGTGGTTACCAATTTCTTTTTTTTCAGGCTTCAACGATAGATGGAAGACGAAAAGGCGCCTGTCTTTTTTGTCAAGAATACTTCATGGACCTTTACTTACTAGCCGAATTGAAGACGATTTCCCTTAAAGTAACAACCGTTGACATGCAGAAGCCACCCCCAGACTTTCGCACCAATTTCCAAGCAACTCCCCCGCCCATTTTGATTGACAATGGCGATGCTATTCTGGAAAATGAAAAAATTGAAAGACACATCATGAAGAATATTCCAGGTGGACATAATCTCTTCGTTCAGGATAAAGAAGTTGCAACACTCGTCGAGAATCTTTTCACTGTAAGTTGAACATTGGAAGAGAAAGTGGTAATTAAAAGATTTCCTATCCACACTTTAGATCAGAGATGGGCAAACCTTTGCTCTGAGAGCAAGTCGTGCTCCCGACCTCTATTAGTGTATAACGCCGGGCAGACTAGAGCTCATTGTGACGGGTGATCGGCCTTTATGACCGAGGTCGTAAAGGCCCTTCTCCTCGGCTGAAATCAACCGAAGTGGCGGTAAACACTTGAAAAAAGGAAAAGCGGGGAAATGAATCAAAAATGGAAAATGTGAAATGTTCTTCACCATGACGTTTTCATTTATTTTGAAAACAGACGGTACAAATAAAATGTAAAAACCGGTTGGTCAATTTCAGCGGCAAGGAACAAATTCCACAATGTCATGTTCCAGTGGTCCCGCAATTATTTATTCAAGAAATGACATTGATTGAAGTAAAAATATTAATTAAGAAAATTAAAAAAAAATTATTTAAAAAAAATCTTCAGTTTTTATATTCGGAATTAACATCAACCGGTAAAAACTGCAATGTTTGGTATTTTTTCTTTCACATTTTTTTTCGGTAAGGTCGTTATTGGACCAAAGAATTCGAAAACAAGTAAAAAGATGTAAGAATAATTTAAGAGTAATTTCATGTTTTTTTCAATGAGTAATAGTCATTTTGATATCCTTAAATATTTTTGTCCATGTGTGGATTTTTGAATTTTCTTTTATATTAATCGCGGCGTCTATTTTCCCCATTTTACCATTTGGCAGAGGCGTCATGGAACGCTCCCCAATACAGTGACTATGAGACCCCCCATTAGTGTCCCCACTATGATCGTACTAGGAACCTCATAATTGGCATGGTTACAAAGTTTATTGGATTCCTAACTCGAGTTTATGACTGCTCCGAGTTACCTGGAGCTTGCCCATCCCTGTTTTAGAAAACCAGATGGACTGCAAACCTATTCGGTTAAAACCATATTACATCGTCTTAGCCCTTTTTTCTTTCTTCCTTTGTCATTTCCATTAATACTAAGCTTCGGGATAAATTTGTAGCAATGATTCTACGCAAGTTAAGGATAAGTCTCCAGAAGCAACTATGATCGATAAAATGATGTGCATTTTTTTAGAAAAAAAATGTTATGCATAATAATAGCGTTTTTGTTTTATTATGAGACAGTAGTAGTAAGTAGTCGTTAGTATATTACACGTTAATTCTACTTTTTATGTATATTTTGGGATTAAATTCCATTAAAAAAAAATTTAATTAATATCTGAAGGTGGCTAGACGATGTTTTGAGGACGAATTTCTAAGAGGGAATTTTATTGATAAATTATCAATTTTTTTGCTCCAGAAACGGGAGCATTGTAATCGTGCAGAAATAAGTTCTTGTTTTTTTGTGTTGGATTAATCCATTATGATCCAAAAAGTTCGAAAATGCAATTTTTAGACCCTGTCCGTACGTATATGAATGTGTGTATGTATGTGACAAACGTTTTTTTTTTTTCAATTTTTAAATTTTTTTTTGAATTGGGCGCGACTTGACGCCTGCAATCAAGTAACTTTTTTTTTTTAATGTAGTCACTATCGAGCTCTATCCATCGACATTAATTCGAATTCGTTTCGATTGGTATATTTTTTTTTTCAATTTTTCAATTTTTTTTTTGAAATTTCGGATTTTGACGATGATTGAAAAAAAATTGGTTTGAATCAAATCCTGGATGGCTTGAAAAATTCACTCAAGTGTCTTTTGAACAGAGTTCGAAGATGAAAGTGATAGCGACAATAGTTGTTTATTTATTTATTTTTTTTTAATATTGAAATCTCTTTCATATCTCGGAATTTTATGCTCAAAAGGATTTCATGTAAAGTTTTTAACAGCACTTTCGATACCAACCATACCAACAGTACCTAGTCATGTGACATCTATTACCATCATTACAAATTCAAAATTTTATGTCATTTTTCTTGAAAGTGAGTTTTGTGATGGTTTCTTCGCACTCGTTATGTTTGATTCATTTCATTGGGTCTTCATAATTCTTCTACAACAATATCTCATCCAAATTTGAAAGCAATGTGAACAACATTATACAGCCATTTAGTTTTAGAAATCAGTTCTAGAACTCTTAGAAGGGAATTAATTATCATTACCAATGTAAATGGTAATGATAACAATGTAAATCTCTCTACCTAGAATAGAATAAATATTGCAAGCGGTCATACTTTAGGTGGCACGGCAGCTGGCCTTATCGTCAACATGAAGGAAAAACACAAATTATGGGAAAAAGCCTTTCGGCATAAAAAACCGAAATTTATTTGAATTGATACACTAATCAAAAAGAATCACGGTAAATGGCGTATCCAAAATACACAAAATGTTGTTATACTATGTGACGAAGACGTGAACCCTGAATGATAAGTACAAGCACACATGAATAATACTTTCGATTTGCCTTCTCGGAGGTTGAAATTTCTGGTACGAACCATCGACCGGTAAACAGGCAATATATTTTTCAATGAATTCGTCGTTTCTTGATTCGAGTCTTGCTAATAATAATTGTATAAAGATGAGAGCTTGACTGTTGATTCAAAAGCAACGGGAATTATCGTTATCCGTCAACATGAAAACCTGACTTTATCTGCCATAGTTGTTACCACGTGACAAGAATCAACTATTCCGCAATTGAATTGATAACGTAAAATTACGTGATGGCTACAATTTGTCGATATGTTCCTTTCGATGAACATTCGCAACAATCAATTGAAAAGGAAAAGAAAAGCTTATGTTAAATTCCTAAAACAATACTTAGATGTTGCATGTTTTATTGAAGATTAAAACAGACGCGGAAATGACTATTATTCCGAATGGATGTAGAATTCCCAATCTCGGTAAAAAATGAGAAAAAAAGCAAAAAATCAGTACATTGTTATATCAATTATATATTACGAATAACTGTTCGGGAGCGACTTGCTAATTCATTAGCAAAAAAAACTATATGATATCGAATACAACAGCATATCCTACTTGTTTCAAGAACGTTTGGAAAACACAAATACAGTCGATTTTCTTTACTTTTTCCAATTTCTTACCAATAGCGGATTGACTTTTTTACCACTAGCCACGAACTGTATAGATACGAATGAATGTGTTTGTTTCTGTGCTCAGAAAATGCGCCGTACAGATCACGAACTCTTTTCTTTTCATATTTTCGTTGTAGATTACTTTATATATATAATGGTTACTTTGCGGACATGTGGCATGTGGACATGTGGCTGTTTTGAGGACAGTCCTCATAAGTTTTTTTACGCAGTGGGTACTTCGGGGACAGTCCTCATAATATACACAGTCTATGCAATGATGATTATGGGGACTGGGAGATCTAGTGTCATAAACGAGCACAGTGTCCCCGAAATAACATCTTACTGTTTGTATACTTTGAGGACATTTTATTCTATCCAATAGTATTGCTGTAAGAGAAGTAAGATGAAAGAGATTGGATAGTTGTGCACAATTAAATAATTTTATACACCTTCATCTGAAATCATCACATCAAATATTTAAAAAAGTGTTCAAAGATGATTGTAATTCAATTCCGATTTCACGGAAGATTTAATTTATTCTGGGGAAATGGAACATTTTGTTAATAGTTGAGAAAGTAAATTGAATAATCTGATTGAAACCAATCATACCTACTGAAGTTCAAAAATTGCTTATTTCGATATCATCACATTCATTTCAGGTGCAAAAAACTGCATTGATTTATTTTTCCTCCGTGGTCATATTTTTTTCCAATCACTAAAATAGAAATATACTTCGTAAATGAATATTAATTCATCAAGTAGAAGGAGAATTTTCCGAATGGGAATGAAGACGGATAATGAAATTTTGGGAATACTTCGATATTCTACTCAATGTATTATATGGAGATATATGTTGCATATAAGGACATTTGCATTCTAACGTATGTTCATTAACGAGGACTCATCGAAAATATGAGGACATTTCAATTCGATAGATTGTTCATCATGAGGACGCACAGCTACGACCGTAAAGTATATTATGAGGTCATCTTTAAAAAAATTTTAAACTAACTTCCAAGAAGTAGGAAATTGTATTTGACACGGTGAATGAATCCATAGGAAAGATAGTTTCGTACGTATCCATTCGAAATCATGACATTAGATGATTGTAGCAAATTTCATAAAAATATTCGAAGTCAATCCCGACTTCACCAAAAATTCAATTTATTCCACCGAGGTGGAATATTTAGTTTATAAAGAAGGACTCAATCAAATGATGAAATTTGTTTCGTGTGTTTGACATCGAAATGAAGAATATTCGAATTCAATCCTGACATTACTGAAACTTACGGTTATTCCAACAAAATGGAAAATTTCGTTGATAGAAACAGACTTATTTGAATAATGTGATAGAAACAAATTTATAGAAAACTTCCATATTCTCCTAATTGGATGATATGGGCACATATGGAACATGTAGGGATATTTCAATTCTAACCTATGTTCATTGTGGGGACACATCGAAAATATGAGGACATTCAAATTTTACTGATCGGTCACTATGAGGACATGACAGCATAGGTGTAATGTATATTATAAAACCTTTACATACGATCGTCATCATTTGAAGTCGGTTAAAGCGATAATGGTCAGTGGGAATTCTTGCGAATACAAAAATTAGTACGTCGATCATTCACGGAAAACGTGGTGTACGACACCCTCGCCCTGAAGGAGGAACGATCAATGAAAGCCCCCGAATCATTTGCATGGATGATTTTACAAATTCGGAGCTTGAATGACGATCATTCAATCTAAGAATCCTTGAATCTAATGAAAAAGTGCATAACGACAAGATAGAAAAGTACTATTGTTATTCAATTAAAGCACATCAATAACTGCAATTTTGTATTGTCTTTGAACTGAGAAATAATATCTTTATGATTTCTCAATGATCGATTGAGGAAAAAAATCGAAGAGATTTTTCCGACAATTGGAACAAATGGGGAGGAACGTTGAGGACGATCGATTAATAGAAAATTTATATGATGGTGCCCACTTTAGAGTCTTCATAATCAAAATTATCCAAATGTCCTCAAAAGATACTTTACATACAAATTCGAATTATAGCTGTCCCGATAGTAGCTAAACTACGGACTAAAAAGCTATGACCCCATATAATACATAATATGATGGTCCTCATATCCTACAATCCATGAAATATGTGGACGAAGTGGGACAAAAAATGCCACTTCAGATCGGGCATTAATTTTGTTTAGTATATTAGGTGTTTTTCAACAATTTTAACCCATTTAAAAGGGTTTCTGTTTTCTGTCCCCGAAATAACCATTAGATAAATATATATACATGTAAGTGGCGACAGTAGCCACGCGGGTGGTGTGTGACTCCGGCGGTCATCCAGGCTAAGCAACACTCAGTTGGGTTAGTACTTGGATGGGTGCCCGCTTAGTCACACCCCTCGGCGTGTAGACTGCCGCCGTTAGGCACGGGTGTAGAGAGCTGCTGTGTTCACAGAGTCAGTGTGATTGATGAACACAGCAGAATCCCCGCATTACTGGCTCGCTGCGCTACTGAGGTTTTACATGGTTTCCCTCAGTACAAGCCAAATGGGCGCAGTACGGAAAGTCGACCCATGACACCGCAAAAATAATGAGGATAGTAGGAGAGGCTAAAGGCTAAGACGAAGGGGAGACTATCAAACCATGAAACTATGGTAATAGGAAAAGGAAAAATGTAAAAATAAAAAAATATATAAATGTGGAAAAAGTCTGAAGATTCATTTTTTTCCAATGATTTGTTGGTCAAATATACGATAAGGTAAAGGTCCGCCAGACTAATCTAGATGTTCTATAATGGAATATCGAGCTACGCGGTAGCGTATCGGCCAAGTAAAAGTTTCATCTCTATCCAACAAATAAGGCCAAGAGCTACGGTGTATCTATACACGACACAACTACTGCTTCCACTACCTCCTAATCATATTCAATCCATAAAATACAAACGGCACAAGTTACATGAAATCTGTGCACAGCTACATTATATAAATCGCCCTCAAACTTTTCATTGATATAAGTTTTCCCTCTTTTATGTTTTTTATTTGGTCCCATAATTATAATTTTTTATTTTATGGTAATGAATATTAGGTTGTTGTTGGAAAATTATATGCAGTTCTTGACCTCTTTATGTGTGTAATTACACATGTGACTGAAGTCAATTTTGAAGGTTAATGGAAGTATGAATTTCGAGATTTCGACATTAAAAAAAATTGATTCGGTCTAATACATACATAAATGTAGAAAGGAGTTTTTCAAATTGCTGAAACACATTGTGTATTATGTAAAAAAATCATGCAAATAATATACTTCATATGAACTGCAAACATGATGTGGGTGACAAAAATTTGGAAGACATGAAAATAATTCTTTACTTATATTGAAAAAATCCGTGAAATCTCCCCAAATGACAAAAACTGGTGTTTTTGTTAAAAAAAAACCAAGGCAAGTAAAAGTTTAGCTCAATTGATTCCGTCAAAAACTGGCGTTTTGCCGAAATATGGCGTTCCTAGAAATTGAAAAAAAACTCGGAAAATGTAAATGAAAATGCCAACAATTGATTCATTTGGTGTGGCAAATCTCATCTACATTTTGCATTTTTTCAAAACGTTTCGATGTATTGTTTATCTCCAAACCTCTAAAAAATTATCACAATTTGCTTCATATACAAATCTGTAAGGGGAAATCGTTTGAAAGAACTACACATTATAATTATGCAGGATCATTTCATATATGAAAATTTATTATTCTCTAGAAGAATGCCTGGTTGACTTTTTGATCCTAATTATTTTCAGAAATTGAAGCTCCTGTTTTTAAACGCAAAAGAAAAGGACAAAGACCCAAAATCGTCTTCATTAATGGCACATCTGCGCAAGATTGACGAGCACTTGGGACGCAAAGGCACTAGATTCTTGACTGGCGACACCATGTGCTGCTTCGACTGCGAGTTGATGCCCCGTTTACAGCATATCAGAGTCGCTGGAAAGTATTTTGCAGATTTTGAAATACCAGAAACACTGGTAAACTTATGGAGATACATGCACCACATGTACAGACTAGATGCATTCCTGCAGAGCTGTCCAGCTGATCAGGACATCATCAATCATTATAAACTACAGCAGGTGTGGATAACAGGGAAAACATCTTCGTCTCTCAAACCTGGAAATGGCCTATCAATTTTCGTGTTCTTGATTGCAAGTTAATTCCAAAAGAGAAACTTCTTTTTGAAAAAAAAATTCATAGGACCTATCCCAGAGCATCATCCAAGACATTTTTTTTCATTTGACATTAATTGTCTTAAATTCAAATGTGAAAGCCGCAAGACTTTCCAGATGATCCATTGGACAGTTTCAGAATTCAAATTAATTTTTTTCCATACTGCTTCTCACGATTTCTCGTCTGGGAATTGGTACTACATACTTCGCAAACTAGAACTCGTATGATTAGCCGCCTCGTCTTCGGCTCAACTCTTCAAACTCCACACCAGTGAAAAACCCCCATTGCAACAGTCCGGATATTATTTTTCCTTAGTGATTTTCAAGTTTTCGAGTTTGGGAAGTATGTAGTACCAATTCCCAGACAAAAAATCGTGAGAAGCAGTACGGAAAAAAATTTATTTGAGTTCCGAAACTGTCACATTGATCATTTGAAAAGTCTTGCGGCTTTTACATTTGAATTTAATACTATTTTCTAACGCCCGCATGGACCATCTGTCGAACACAATCTTTTGTTTCAATTTTATCTGGTTAGCCTAAAATATATCAAAATTTTCGATCAAATTTGTGTTGCAGGCACCACTCGAATGGTTCTAAAAATATAATGAAAAAAAAAAAAGAGGAAAAATTATTGAAAGGCGCTAAATCGCTAGAATGACCAAAAGTAATCCGCCAAATTTACAAAAAAATAATAAAAAATACATGGCTTACCAGTCCACTCTACTAGAGTAAGTTAGATGAAGTGGTGAGCTGAGGATTTTCAACAATTTTTTATATAAGCTTGGTAAATCCTTTTCATTCAATATCGCAATTTAGCGCCTTTCCAAAAATTTTCCTCTTTTTTTATCCATTATCTGTTTAGAACCATACGAGCGATGCCCACAACACAAACTTGATCCTAAATTTTAATATACTTTAGGCTAACAAGATAGAATTTCAAGAAAAGAGTGGCTCCCACTGATGGTCCACCTGGGCTTTAACTTGGAACAAGGGAAACATTGAGGTCATTAAAATCTCCAATCATGGTATCGAAAATCTTCAAATATAATATTCCAAGAATCTAATAACAAAACCTTCAAAATCGTGGAACAAGTTACTCGATGAAGCGGTTTTGGCTATATTCCATCTAAATCAATAATTCTAATTCTACACTTACATGTTTCAGAGTATGAAAATGAAGAAACACGAGGAGCTCGAGACACCCACATTTACCACCAGTATCCCCATCGAGGTTAATGACGATTAGACATCGAAATTATCTTTATGGGATGAAAAACGATGGCGAAAAAATAAATTTCCTTTCGGTCTTGGTACAAGTCCCTGTGGGTCTACTGGAACATTGAATCAAAGTGTTTTCAGAAATTATAAAGAAACAATCTGTCGCTATTTCCTAAAAACTTCGATACAGTTGACTAATGTGTCTTATATTTTCAGACTTTCAGAAAAATATATAATTAATCTCAAAGTACATACCTTGGCAATACTGGAAGTGTTCAAAAAGAATTCAATTAAGAGATTTCCAATTGAATAGCGAGGGAATAAAATAGTTTGAATTATCAATAAATATCTATTTTATGAAGAGGAATATCGATATTGCAAAAAAAAAATTTTACAGCCAAGTAGGCGCAAAGCTTTACCTAAACAATTTATTTTTACATTTAGAGACGTCTGAATTCAAATTAAGATTTTGTCAAAGGCTCAGTTGTAAATCTTCGAAATCTTAAAGCAAAGTATTTTTCCTTACTGCTTTTCATCACTTCTCATCTGGACATTAGTATTACATATTCCCCAAACTCGAAAACTATTTTTAAGCATTCTCATAAACCAAATTACTATCTCGATCAAATTCCTAAACACTGAATGAAAACTAACGGATTCCGCTCTTCGGCAATGAATTGTTGGAACTATGACGTATGTTCTTGAAACAACCTCTTGTTACTAGTATGTGAATTATTGGTTCTTCTTTACGTCTTGTTTATTACTTCTTCTATTTAGAAATATGCGGTAATGCTTTATGCAAAGCCAATCAAAACAGATGAACACTCGGGGTAGGAATCATATAAAGTTGCTTGATGATAAGTTGTGACCTATCTTCCTTTAGCAAAATGAAAAAAATGTAGAAATAACGTGTAATTTGAGCATTAAATTTGCATGAACAGCTGGAAAAATTGTTCTGTGTCAAATTTGAAAGATACCACAAACTTCACAACTCGCGGGTAAAATTCGATAAATTCACCTAATTTTTTTTCCCTGAAATTCTGTTGACTTGTGCTGCTATTCTATACAAAGCTTCTGCAGAAAGTTTTAGAATAGTATTAAAACATTTTATGTATTTTTTCGTTGATTCCTATTAAAAACCATGTCACATTCTTATCTAAATATTGAATAATTATTTTATGAAAAAAAATCACTGATTATATGCATCATTCTTCTGGAATATTTGGTTTTAAAATTGAGCAATCCCTGAAAAAATAGAGCACAGAAAAAGATCAATTTTCCTTTGGCTTATTAAAGTCGGTGGGTTTAAACGCGTTTTGAATGTGTGGGCTATTTTCTCCTGGTCGACTTCTCCTGCCTACCAAATCTGAGAAAGCAAATTGGAATAATTATAACACCCATGGATTCTCTATGTAATTGTAAACGATGTGTGGTTGCCAATTCGAAGGAAAGCATTGTCTATTGAATTTATCTATTGAATTGGTTCATCACGTGAGAACCTTTCGTTATTGTTCAGATTGTACTTAAGTTAGAAATTAGTCATGGTATTTTTTTTTCTCATTAACACCGATTAATTCATTTTTTTCTTTTTTGTGTTTTTCTGTAAACAGAAACACCTGAAATTTATGGCGAGCCTGTTTTATAAAAATATAATGTACTTGACTAGTGGTATTTCTATATTATTAATAAAGATTATTGTAATATTACGTAACCGTTTGGTTTATACGCTTGAATGAAATAAATTGGAATTATAAACGTGTTCAGAATGAGGGGATTTTTTTGTTGTCTATCTATGCACTGTAAATAGTACCAATACACTTTCGATTACTTATTAAATAATATTTGTTCTTGGAGACACCTACTAAAGGAATTTGCCTTATATGTGCAGATTTCAATACAAATATTCGATAACATACTTTTAAATTATGTTATTCACTTTTTTCATAATGTACCGGATGTACATTATGAGAAAAGTGAATATCGTTTTTACTTTGTATTTTTTTATAGCTTACTAACTTACTAATGTCATTATGAGGCTACAGATACCGGATTCCATCCATCCTATAATTTACCCTTTCCATTACCCCTAGATACTTACTCGAAACAATGCACTAATTGAAAAAACGAACTCATGTAATCGATTGTAGATCATAAGTAAAGTATTGAATAGGTATAAAATATTTTGTGCAATTATTCATTAGCTGCAAATTGGATAATTAATTTGATGCATGATACCGGGAAACAGGGTTGTGGCGTGAATTACCTCCGCTAAGTTAGAAGCCTCTTCACATGTACTAATTTACGTAAACTAGGGCAATATTAGAGGCACGCGCGGATCGCACGCGCTATATTGAGAACCACTTTTAATATCAGTCAGCAAAAGTCGATATATCAACTGGAAATATGACATACACTTTCCCCTCTGTACTGGAATTTTTGGGATCGAAAATGAGCTCGCTCGGATTAATCGTTTGGGAGATATTCAAGTTTGGATCTGAATGAAATTTCTTGAATATCTCAAAAACTATCCAACCGATTTCATTTTTCCTTGGAAATTTCCGTCTCAATGTGATCTGTATGGATCAATCAGAATATATATATATATATGTTCCAAGAAAGTTATCGAAATATTTCAATTTTCATTTTTTTCAAAAAAATGCGACGCGCTCCCTCTTTGATTTTTGAAAATCAATGTATTAATTTGAAATTTTGCAGAAAGTTTCCTCTTAAGACTGAAGATGGGCTAGATTGGATGATTCATTCGGGAGATATTAAACTTTGTGTCTGAAACGATTTTCTCAAATATCTCAAAAACGGCAGAAGTGATTTCATTTTTCTTTTTTGCAAAATATTCATTACACTGTGCCCTATTTATATGGACCAAAGCAGTTTATGCGCTCGTGGGAAAATATAAAGATATTTCAATTTTCATGTTTTTCAAAAAAATGCGACGTACGGTCTCTCTGATTTTTAAAAATCAACCTATCAACTTGTTTTATATTGAATATAATCTCATATTTGATTGATTTTGTGAAACAGCAGGTCTGGCAGAGACAGTGATTGGAGTGATCTAATTTTTTGAGGATTGTGAATTTACTATCAATTTTTATGAATAAGTTTAGGGACAGAGCTCTTTTAACACTAAGTTCGACGGTCTTTTAATATCTGAAAGGTTTCATAGTTCAGTAGTGTGGCGAGGTAGGATTTTCTCAGGGTCAACATTGCTTTTTGTTTCTAAATGATCGAAACGAGTAAATTCACTCCAAAAAGCTCAGAGATTACATGTATTCCATTCGGAAGACAACCATCAATGAAATTGATGGCAAAATAAAATTTAAAAAAATCAATAAATTACATGTGAAGCAACAATCATATGTGTTCTACCATTAGGAATGGCCAACTGCTTGTTTCGATGAGTAATAGTTATTTTCATATGCACAAATATTTTGTCCATGTGTGGATTTTTAAATTTCATTTTATATTAATCGCGGCGGCTATTTTCCCCATTTTACTATTTGGCAGAGGCGTCATGGAACGTTCCCCAATACGGTGACTGTGAGGCCCCTCGGGACTGTCCCCACTATGATCGTACTAGGACCCCCATAATTGCCATGGTTATAAACTTTATTGGATTCCTAACTCGCCTTTATGACTCTACTGCGAGCTACCTGGGGATTACCCATCCCTCATTCGCGAGATCTCAATCTGGTAAAACCTAGATTGAGGTAGTTAATGCGGCGATGGATCCAAAACAAAGAAAATATACATAATAAAAATCGTAATTTATGCCTTCAAAGTCATTATTTATACTTTTTTCTCAGGCGTAATTAACGAGAGCAAAAATCTCCTAAAATAAGGTTAAAATCTTGCATTTTACCGATAAAGTTTTCTGTATGCTAGAATTGGAATGGAGTGCTTTGTTGAGTTAATATGGAAATAAAAATTTAATTAACAATTCCAAAATTCAACTATTAAAATGAAAATTGTCTAATCAAACAATTTCTTATCAATTTTCCCTGTTTGAAATTTCTATTTAGAATTTTTATTTTTGTTTAATTTCTTTAATTAATGTAACGTATTAGTGTTTCCCTTTTCTGAATCTTGATTTTCCGTGTGACAAATTTAATAATTATAAATCCAACTCATTCATTTTTCCACAATTTTCATTGATGTAATCCAAGTTTCGTTATTTTATTGCTTAATAATTTCCAAAACAGTTTCAGAACAGTTTCAAAACAAAAATAATCTTAACTTCACTTCAATAATACATTTTACGGTATAGCGTCCAGGATGGTTGAGACCAACCGGTGCAGCTAACAAAGAATTAGGTCTCAGAGAGAGACCTGTAGCGTGAGGAGTCTGTCTCAGCTCACTTATTTTTACTTGTTGGGTTTCTGGAAGCGCAACGATTGAATGGATCTGGTTGGCGATCTATTCAATACCGGAAAACTTAACTAAGCAGTCTCACGATGATACTCGAGTCCGGTCCCATTGATAAACCGTGTGATAGTGCAAAGAGAAAAGCAGTTTGCAGAAGAGTTTAGTGGAGAAACCTATGAGAATACTTACCTAAGCACTTTGAGACAGAAAACTCTCTGAGGCTTCTCTGAGCCTCGGATCATGATCAGAGTTGGATCCGCGCGGCTGGTCCTGAGAAATAACCTTAACAATTGAAGGTAGTGGACATTTCGTTCAACCCACTCACGCATAAGTCCTATAACCACGTTATGCTGAACCCGCGGTGTAATATTGTGTATTTACCTTAGATGAACATTATCAATAGACTACCTATACATTATCTTTAGTGTTAAGTAAATCCCAACAATGAGCGAACTCCCCGTGAGCTCGACGCGCAAAAAGTAGCTAAGGCGAGGGTCAACTTGGCGACCTGGAGATTGTTCCAAGTGTTGCTCCGGGGCTATCCCGAGCCCGCCCGGAATTATTGGAAAGCGGAAACCCAAAAAGTTCCAAACCTAATGGTGGAGACTTCTTGGAAGGGCCGCCTGAGCATAAACAGCAAGTCTAGACGATCATGCTAACCCCGTAAAAGGGAGAAGAAACTAGGGAGCAACCTAGCTGAGTCCTCAATCCCATGGAGAACAATCTAATTCTGTCCTTCATCCGGAGAAGAGAACAAACACAAACACAGCAAACTTGTTATCTCCTCAAGTCCTGTGGAGGAGAGGACAAATGTAGCAACGATAAGAGCTGTCTAGGTGTTTAACTCTCAATCCAAAAAAGGAGAGAACTTCCTAGTCAGCAAGAATGCTGAGAGAAGTTAAGCGAAGTGGTTAGAGAGCCAACCTGGGAGTTCTGTGTTCGAGAGGAGCCAAGCCCAAACAGAAGGCTAGTTCCTGTTGTGCAGATCCTTAAATAGCCAATCGGAAGAGCGGGCATAGCACGTCCTGTGACGTGTGCCTAAGGCTCTTCACTAAGTTACCGTTGACATACGAGAGGTATGTGCAAGGCTAAGTATATAGGTCATATAGCGACAACTACAACATGACGAAAATTAATAAACTAAAAGAACGTAAAATCGTGTAACTGAAGCCATGAAAAATTTTCAGAGTTTTTGTCAACTGGCTGCCGCATTTTGCGTGCGCAGCAAATAGTGAATCGGGGTTGGTGAACCCAACCCTTCGAAGTGAAACTAGGATAAGTGAGTTCTTCTTCCACAAGCCGTCTGCTTGAAGCTTTTCCTTTCAAGGAGTTAATGTTCTGAATTAATTACCCAGTTTAAAGTGTATTACTGAGTTCGAATTATAAAATTAATCAAGTCGGAATAAAGGTGTTTTATATGCTCTCCTAAGCACAGGTATTTATTCAACTTTATTATTGAATTGAAATAATTCAATCACCTTGAACCCATCATCAACCAACATAGATGGAGTCCTCATTAGAAGGTTAGTGGCTAACAAGTCCACATTCAAAGATTGGCCCTAATAGGATCACTTAGCGCCACGTTTCTCCTAGTTACTTGCGGAGGACGTAACAACTGTGGGGATGAAGGTTGTTTACTCGTGTGGGATTTGGCGAGGCGACCAACCACACGAGTAAAAAAACCCTATCCCAACATTTGTAATGTCCTACCGGAGTTACCAGGAGGATAGTGGCGCCTCGTAGTAAATTGAGCGCCAAAGTTGAAAACGTAGCTTCGTTAGCCGCTAAACCTCTAATGAGGATTCCATCGATATCAGCTGGTTGAATTCAAGTTGTCGGATTCAAGGGTTATAAATGGAATAAATCCAAAACACCAGTGCTTAGGAGAGCACGTAACACACACTTTATTTAATGACTTTTGAACTTAACTAGA